TATATACATATATATATATATATATGTATATATATATATATAAACACATTTAGAGTGCAGACACTCGGTATATATTAAGTGGGGACATACAATGCCTCTCCTTCATAGATAGCATGGCTTGCTTCACTCAGCAGTAAGTCCTCCATATTCATCCACTTCCTTTCAAAAGCTATATATTTTTTTAAGAGAGATTTTTGCTATAGGGAGCATGTGCTCATCAGAGAGACAGAGAGCCAGAAAGTTAGAAAGCAAGAAATAACCCACCACGGGGAGTGGCTACACCAAAGTTCATTCTCCTCCATTTCCTTCTTGGGATTTTGGGCACACACAAACCTGTAGGGCATGAGTTTCAAGCTGCTGGGTCCAGTTCTCAAACTACGGTCGACTACGTGGGAGTCCAGCAACGTAACCATTATGCCATCTGCTGGTCCTCATATTATATTCTTAATATTATACAAGGGAATGAAATCTTTGCTTTTTCCATATATGCAACTAAGGAAAAACCCTTCTTTGGAAATGAAAACGTACAGCAAAAAGATTTACATTTGTTCTGCCTCTATCTCACTTGATTTCCTCATCGTAAAAGAAAGCATTCTTTTTCCTAATTTCCTAATTGTAAAAGAAAGCAAACTCTACATGAAAAGTTTAGAAATCACTGCAAAATACCATTTCCAGTGTGGAAAGATCTGTGTTATGCCAAAGGTCACCAACGAATGATTACTAGAATTTATATGCTCTAATATCTAATCTAGATGCACTTTTTATTCCTTGAATTGCTATATTTCACTGAATCTAAGATATCTCTATTTAGTGTAAGACATTGCTTTATGTACCACTAAGAAGTAAAAAACATTGCCAAATATTAAGATATCGTCAATTTTAAGAGATGTTAAAATATGAAAAAATGTGTACTTTAGAATCTACTAAATATGAAAAAAAGGGGGGCGGCTGGCAGGTGGAGTGGTGATTATGGGCTCTGGACTCCCATGTGGCAACCACAGTTTGAGTGTCAGATCCAGCAGCTTACTTTCTCACTTTCTTTCAGTCTCACTTTATCCCTCTCTGTTCAAATTTAAAATAAATAATGTGAAATAAAATAATTCCTTAAAAAAAAGAATCTACTAAATATGGTACTGATATGGTCAATAAGTTATGTACATATAGATGAATTTAGCTAGTACAAGGGTATTTGAATAACTGGAAAATGTCTTCCTTTTAAAAAAAATTTGTTATAGGGTGTGTGCACTTACCAGAGAGAGAGAGAGAGAGAGAACACGTACCCCCAGGGGGATAGCCACACCACAATCCTTCTCCATTTTCCTCTTGGGATTTTGGGCACACATGCACATGTGCCCCATGCATTTCTCAAGCCACTGAGTCCGGCACAAAAACCATAGAGTCACGTGGATCTAGTCACCTCAACCACCAGGTCACCAGTTGGCCCTGAAAATGTCTTTAACAATCTTAATGAAACATTCATAGAGATAGCCAATATACAACAATGGCCTGAAAATAAATGGAATATTACTATTTGGAGGAAGTAAACATGCCAGAAAAATAAGTTTGACAATTGACCAACTCATGATTTTAACTTTAAAATATAAAGTCCTCTTCTGCTTGCTTTCTGTAGTTCTTCTCACATACATTTTTAAAGACTTAGAGGCCTAAAATCCAACATTCTCTTAAACTGACTTCCATCTGAGAAAGTGACATAATAAAAGCTTCCAATCGTGGGGAACCAGCAGTTAGCATAATGGCTATGTCGCTGGACTCCCACGTAGTCGACCGTGGTTCACGTCCCAGATCCGGTGGCTTAAAACTCACGCTGGGCGCGTGTGTGTGCGTGCCTAAGATCCCGAGAGGAAAATGGAGGAGAAGGGATTGCGGCGTGACCATCCCCCCTGGGGGGTGATTTCTCGCTTTCTGTCTCTATGTCTCTCTCTGTTTGCCTGGTGTGCGCATGCGCTCTATAGCAAAAACCTCTCCAAAAAAAAAAAAAGCTTCCAATCGTGATATAAACAAGTAACTACTATACTCAAAAATATCTCTCCTGAACTTTAACTTAAATACAACAACAAGTGAGAAAAGATTCAAGTTTTTATTTAATGTAATAATATCCTTGGACATCAAAGGTATATAATTTAGTTCTTACTAAAGTTACACAGTCAGATCAGATCATCTATCAGAACATATTTATGCTAGATGGTAAAACCTAGGTTTTAGGATTTTTCCTGAGTGTCTAAAAGTACTAGGCATATTTAAGAAATGTCCCCAGGGCTTGCAGATAGCATGGTGGTTAAGGGCACTGGACTCCCACATGACCAATGGTGGTTCGAGTCCCAGACCTGGCAGCTTGCTTTCTCACTCTCCCTCTCTCTCCCTGTTTCTCTCTCTGGCTCTCACTCTTGCTCTGTCCCACTCTGGTCAAATTTAAATAAAAATAACTCTTTTTTTTAAAAAAAATATTGGAATTAATAATTTTTTCCAGATTTATATTTTAAACTTTATCTTAAAATATTATTTTTGTCAATATTTGTCAAACATGGCCCTAAAAACAAAATTAAAACTTACTTTTCTGAGACTGTCTTAGCTACATTTAGAGAGACTTGTGTTGATGAGGTATAAAATTTGCTTGCCAATCTTGGTCTGCATCCAAAGAGGCATTTACTTAAAGAGTAAAAAGGGGAATAAAAAATAACTTGTCATTCATTTTTGAAAAGATGATAAAAACAGAGGCCAGCAGGTGGCATGGTGATTAAAGACACTGGACTCCCACATGGCCAACCGCGGTTTGGGTCCTAGACCTGGTGGCTTGCTTTCTCACTTCCTTTCTCTTGTCCTCACTCACTCCCTGTCTGGTTAAATTAAAATAAATAAATAAATAAAGATAAATAAAATAATTCTTACAAAAAAAGAAAAGATGATAAAAACGTGATTATGTAATAAAAAACCTAGATACAAGTTTTTTAAAGATTTATTTCATTTTATTTGTTATTATTATTATTTTTTAATTTGATCAGAAAGAGAGAGAGAAAGG